TTACGTGGAAAACCCCTAAATAAAATAGGGTAAAAACCACGGGCAACGGTAGAAGAATTTCACTATGAGAAAATAGGAATTACAACCTCTCTCGATCTACCAAGGAGAAAACAATGATAATTCTCTCTCGATAAAAAGGAGAAAACAACTCTCAAGAAACTCTCTAAATTCTCTCTAGTATTGGAAGAAAGCTAGAATGCTTTGGGATGATTTTGAAGCTAAATGAGCTAGGGTATTTATAGTTAAATTTTAAAGACTAATCTTGTAAATACCCTAAAGTCTAATGACTAAAATTAATTTTCCATTCAAAATATTCAACACCTAATTCATGCCTACCATTCCTTTTTTCAAAGTTTTAGGTAGAATTGATTTTTTTTTCTTCAATTCCAACTTTCGGTGGGAATTTATCAATTTTTAACAATCTCCCACTTGAAGATTTGATTGGAACAATCATATCTTCACACCATTCTTTCTACCTTGTACCATCATGTTGCTTACATTTCTGACAGACCACAAGAGGATCGACACCAAGTAAATTTATCTGTGTTGATCGCCTTTGTCATGAAATCTGCTATGTTGTCTTTGGTATGGATCTTCTGCATATCTACCGTCCCTTCTTCCACCTTTTCACGAATGAAATGGTACTGAACTAGTATGTGCTTTGTCCTTGAATGAAATGCTGTATTCCTTGCTAAATGCAAGGCGCTTTGACTGTCACAAAACAGAAAGACATACTTTTGATTGTGCCCAAGCTCCTCCAATAGCATCTTCAACCAAATTGCTTCTTTACTGCTTGTGTAGCTGCTACATATTCTGCCTCTGTTGTGGATGTAGCCACAACTGACTGCAATTTTGAAACCCAGCTTACAGCTTCACCAGCAACTTTGAACACATACCCTGTAGTATATTTGCTTTTATACAAATCCCCTGCATAGTTAGAATCTACATACCCATTGATTAGTAAATTTGATCCTCCATAACATAATGCAACATTTGAGGTCCCTTTGATGTATCTCAAGACCCTTTTTATTATATTCCAATGCTCTTTTCCTGGATTCGCCATGTAGCGACTAACCACCCCCACTGCTTGTGCAATGTCTAGTCTTGTGCATATCATAGCGAACATCAAACTTCCCACTGCTAATGCATACGGTACTCGAGACATCTCCATCCTCTCTTCTTCACTGCTAGGACTCATACTGGAGGATAATTTGAAGTTAATAGGAAAAGGGGTAGAAATTGGCTTACAATCTTGCATGCTGAATCGTGACAAGATCTTCTTCAGGTAATTCTTTTGTGAAAGCCAAATCTTCCTATTACTTCTGTCTCGGTGAATTTGCATCCCTAGAATCTTGTTTACTGATCCCAAGTCCTTCATTTTAAATTCCCTAGCCAGTTGTGCCTTCAATTCTTCAATATGATCTTTGTTGGGTCCTGCAACCAACATGTCATCCACATACAACAACAATATAACAAAATCGTTATCACCAGACCTCTTGAAATAAGCACAATGGTCTGCATTAAGTCTTTTGTATCCAAGGCACATAATGAAGGAATCAAATCTCTTATACCAACACCTCGGCGCCTGCTTTAGACCGTACAGAGATTTGTTCAACCTGCAAACCAAGTTCTTCTTTTCTTCTTCTTCAAAACCTTCAGACTGGAGCATATAAATCTCTTCTTCAAGATTTCCATGAAGAAAAGCTGTTTTAACATCTAGCTGCTCTAGATGTAAGTTCAATGTAACACACATTGCCAAAACTACTCGAACTGTTGTTAGTCGAACCACAGGAGAAAATATTTCATTGAAATCAATACCTTCTTTTTGAGCATATCCTTTGACCACCAGTCTTGCACGATACCTCTCAACTTGATCGTCACCATTTCGCTTGATTTTGAAGACCCATTTGTTACCAATTGGCTTCATTCCTTGTGGTAGTGGCACAAGGTCTCATGTATTATTTTTATGAAGGGCTTCAATTTCTTCTTGCATCGCCATCACCCACAGTGAAGCATCTGAGTTGTTTATTACCTCCTGGTATGTTAATGGCTCACCGTCCTACAATCTGATTGACGAGTTGTTGGTGCTTCAGAACTCTCTGGTTCTTGTTCATCATGTGCTGGTTCTGCTTCTGAAGAATCTCATAGTTCAAACTCCTTTTCCACATTTATCTGTGTAGTCTCTGACTTTTCAGTGCTATCATTGTCTTCTTTTCTTTGTAGTTTATCCTCTACAAAGATAACATCCCTGCTGATGATCATTTTGCGGGCAGTGGGATTCTACAAGCGATACCCCTTGACTCCATCAGCATACCCCAAGAATTTGCATTTCCTGGATTTTGGATCCAGCTTTGAGATTTCTTGGGAGTTGTACATCACGTACACAATACGTCCAAATATATGGAGGTTTGAATAATCATCTGGTTTACCAGTCCACATCTCCATTGGTGTCTTCAGCTCTATTGCAGTTGATGGAGCTCGATTCACCAAATAACAAGCGGTATTGACTGCTTCTGCCCAGAATGATTTTTCTAGGCCTGCGTCCCTCAACATTGCTCTTGTTCTTTCTAACAAGGTTCTGTTCATCCGCTCTGCCACTCCATTTTGTTGAGGAGTGTTTTCCACTGTGAACTATCTTTTGATGCATTCTTTCCTGCAAAAGTCATCAAATTCTTCGCTTGTGTATTCTCCTCCATTATCTGTTCTGAAACACTTGATCTTATTTCCAGAATCAAGTTCCACCCGCGCTTTGAAGATTTTGAAAGTTGAAAACACATCTGACTTCTTCTTAATAGGATACACCCAACATCTCCTAGAGTAGTCATCAATAAATGAGACAAAGTATTTTGCTCCACCTAGGGATGTAACTGGTGCTTGCCATATGTCAGAATGAACCAATTCTAGAACATTTTTGCCTCTAGAATTTGACGTGTTGAATTTCAACCGGTGCTGCTTACTTGTTATACAATGCTCACACAAAGGAAGTGATATCTTTGTTAAACCGGGAAGTAGCTTTTGTTCCACAAGGACTTTCATTCCTTGTTCTGACATGTGTCCAAGTTTCTGATGTCATAGCATTACAGAATCTGAACTACATGAGGTAATAGAGGCTTCTGCTTCTAGCAAAGTCTCTCCCTTCAGCATGTACAAGTTTGCTGATATCTTTTCGCCTTTCAGCACCACAAGCGCTCCACGGAACACCTTCATGATTCCTTTCCGTGTTTCAATCTTGCATTATTATCCAACAATCCGTAGGACAATAAATTTTTCTTTAGGCATTTCACGTGCCGCACATCTCGAACAACTTTAATTGTTCTATCATACATCTTCAATTTGATGGTTCCCACGCCAATGATCTCTAAGGCATGATCATTGCAACTATACACAGATCCTCCTGAGACAGGTTCATACTGATGGAACCATTCTCTTCTTGAGGTCATATGATATGTTGCTCCTGAATCAATGAGCCATATATCTGCAAATCTTTTTCTTCCTTCCACGGTGGTTGACGCTTCACAGCATAGTACATCTCCATCATCTGAAGTGTTTGCGGTATTGCCTTGTAGATTGAAGTTTTTATTTAGACTTCAACAATCATTCTTCAAGTGACCCTTCTTTCCACAGTTGTAGCACTTTAAATTCTTCTTGCTTCTCGACTTTGATTTACCATGTTTGTGACTGCTGCTTTCGCCACGTTCTGTTGATCTCCCTCTTGTCGTTGTCAACGCTTCTGCTTGTTGCAGATTTACTTGTCTGTCTTCCTTGTTCTTGCGCCGATTTTCTTCTTGTAGAACAGCAGCTGCAACGTCATCGAAGACTAGAATGGTGACATTATTGTTTGTCAAGTTGATGATGAGTTGATCATACGAATCCGGTAGACTTTGAAGTAGAAGTTTAGCACGTTCTTGTTCTACTATTTTACAGCTTAAGGATGTAAGCTGAGAAAATAAAGTGTTCAGTGTGTTTAAGTGCTCCGTCACTGAAGTAGATCTTGACATCCGAAGAGTGTACAATTTCCTCTTAAGGAAAATTTTATTGTGCAACGATGTGGCCTCGTACAATTTGGTGAGATGATCACATATCTCCTTAGCTGTCTTCTTCTCCTCGATGCTTGACAATACTTCATCTGCTAATGCTAGATGAAAGTTTGCCATAGCATTTCCGTCCATCTCATTCCATTTGTTGTCTTCTGCGAAATCCATCGGCCTTTCATTGATAGCCGCTAGACACCCGTCTTTCCTCATGATGGCCTTCATCTTCAATTTCCACAGTGAGAAATTTCTCTCATTGAATTTTTTAATATCAAATTTTGTTGCCATAGCTTCTATTATTGATAGCTCCCACTATTTCACTATCGTGAATAGTTCTCTAGAACCTCAAAGAATGGGTAATACCTTCTTATTTTCTTATGTTGGATGATCCACCTTTTGGTGGCAACCACAAAGACAATAAGCAGATATTACACACTCAAATATGGCTCTGATACCAATTGTTGCGGAAGACGGCTATCGGATAGAGCAAAATCGCAACTGATAATTTGAGAAAATAAAAATGAAGATAAAAAGAGACAAAATTTACGTGTAAAACCCCTAAATAAAATAGGGTAAAAATCACGGGCAACGGTAGAAGAATTTCACTATGAGAAAATAGTAATTACAACCTCTCTCGATCTACCAAGGAGAAAACAATGATAATTCTCTCTCGATAAAAAGGAGAAAATAACTCTCAAGAAACTCTCTAAATTCTCTCTAGTATTGGAAGAAAGCTAGAATGTTTTGGGATGATTTTGAAGCTAAACGAGCTAGGATATTTATAGTTAAATTTTAAGAACTAATCTTGTAAATATCTTAAAGTCTAATGACTAAAATTAATTTTTCATTCAAAATATTCAATACCTAATTCATGCTTACCATTCACTTTTTCAAAATTTTAGGTGGAATTGATTTTTTTTTAAATTCCAACTTTCGGTAGGATTTTATCAATTTTGAACAGGGACGAGTATGATTGTGTGGGGGCTCTACGAGCAACCGGCTGTTCACCATAGTTTGCTAAAAAATCACAAAATCCAGGTTAATTTTATTAACAAATCCATAATTTATAAGTCTTTAATTTTGAAAAAAAAAACTTGTATTCCTGTATTTTTCAATTGTTTTTACCTTGACAGATGAGGCCAAGTTTTGACCCACAACGGGACTATACCAATCCTACTGGTAATGGAACTCCTGACAACTCTATAGATCTTGTCTTAATGGATGCTTGTCCTTCAAGAACAGTTCCCATTCGGAGAAGAAGCACGGTGGAATTATCGAGAGCGAAAGCTTTGTTCTGACGACAGTTTCCGAGACACAAAACAGCCAATAATTTATCGCCCGGATTCGCAGTAACCCATACAAGCTAATTAATTTACAATTTTCTTCTAGTTCAAGGTTCATAGAATCATCCTTAAGATATATGTATGACCTTAGTTTGCAGGAATTGTGACCAGAGATAATCCGGCAACTGTTTATTACGGTGCCGGAGGAATGGTTAGCATAATTAACCCGGCCGTTACCAGTGGCCAAGCAAGCGCATCTGTAATATCACTTGAAGGAGGTCCTCCCGATCAGTTCAGCGTTATAAGGGTCGGATGGATGGTAGGGATTCTTCGTGACCAGGGGGCGACCGGCCTCGCCAGTCTCACCCTATCCATTCCTGTTCGCAACATTTATTTTTTCGATATTAATTAACCATGTCCTTTTTGGAATTCCAGGTTAATGTCGATTTTTACCATGACAATTATTATACTCGATTGTACACACCTTGGGGCGTATGGATTTCTCTCCTTAATCATTCGTCTTTAACTTGTTAGTTTATTCGATTTTTCCGCTGCGTTTATGCTCGTTTTATGCCTACACGATATACGCTCGATAATTGACTTGGCCGTTTGGGTTCCTCTTAATCAGCAACGTCAGAATGGGCAAATGATTGGCTGCTACAACACATACTGCCCTGGATTTGTTCAAACAGACCCTTCTATAGAACTTGATATGACCCTTGGCCCAATCTCAGTTGTTCGAGGACCTCAATATTATATCAAACTTTCAGTGACTCAGGTATACGGATCTTTCCTTTTTCATTACATCTTGAATTACTTGCATCATTTATATCTTGAAATCTATTGTAGGAGAAATCCACAGGATATTAGTGGCTCAAATACGGCGACAACGAAAAGCCGATCGGGTATTGGCCAGGTAGTTTATTCACCAACCTGGGCAACGGTGCACCCGGGATTGCGATGGGGAGGAATGGGTTCGTCTAGTACGGGTCAGGTGCCACCGATGGGGAATGGCGACAACGGAGAAATCCATAGTTCCCACTTTAGGCAACTGGTTCTTCAATATGAAGCGGGGACGTCTCTAAATGGATCGGTTGATGTTCCGTTGGACGTAGTGCAAACAAGGAGTTACAAGTGTGGGAACAACTATTACAAGGGAGAGTTTTGGGGATACAGCTTTTATTTTGGGGGTGACGGTGGAGACGCAACCCAATGTTGTTAATTTTACCAAATATCTGAATTTGATTCCAATTATCATTAATAATATTAATAATGAATAATAAATCTTTGCAGTTAGTGTTAGTGCTGGCTTCCAAATAAAATGTGATTTAAAGCAAAGAAAGATTTTAAGGTTTAGTCCATTAGCAAACTGTTAAATAAAGAGAAAACTGACAAATCTATTATTGCTGCTTAACAATTATTGACAACTCATGTTTGTGCTCAAGTCATGACCCATTGGTCCGCACAAGACGTCTCAACCAGTGACCCTTGAAGCAACTAGCCTATTGATCCAGAAATGACCAAACTAATTAATATTGAACACAATTGAAAAGGGTGCTCTTGCATACACCGGCTAAATGGGCATCCATAGTGAAATGAAGGTGCATGGATGAATTTATACAATAAGCAGCTATGTTGCTCGGACTCTTAGTTTTTTTTTCATGTGCATGTGTATGATACTGGTGTCAGATTCATATCCAGACATGGGTATGAGAATGACTGTCCGAAGACCCAATATGTCAAAACTGCAAAATATTTGAACACACTCATGGAGGACACATTCTTATTTCAGACACTCACACCTGAATACAAGTAACGTAGAAAATTAGCACTTACTCGAGGAAAAATGCACATTTCAGCCAGAGAAGCAAGTTGGTCAACACTTGAATCAAAATCTTCACCAGGGTCCTACTTGAATCCTGTTAAACAACTAGTACTGGAAGCTGTACATTCATTCTCCTGAGTCCAGACCCTCACAGTCTTGTCATTGCCAAGCGCAGCGGTTGCGATCATGTTTCGAGTGGGGTGACAAGCATATGAAATAACAGTGTCGGTATGGCCTTCCAACTTCTGAACCACCTTTCTGGACTGAAGTTCCCACAAGTATACACAGTTATCTTCAGAACCACTAACAATGTACTTATCATTAGTTACAGATTTTTTAAGTGCGAAGATATCTCAGATACTCGGATGTGTGATCTAAGCTGTTTTATGCTGAGTTTAGTTCTATCTTCTTTTTTCTTGCAACTTATGTTTAGTTCTATGTTCTAAATCCTGTAATGTTAAAAACCATAGGATTATTGCGGATGAAGATATGATTTTTAGAATAAATTATGTCAGATATGACTGAATTTTAAGCTTTATATTTTTTTAAATAAATAAAACTAAATCGCAAACAGTGAAACTTCAATTTGTTCAGTCGAAACAACCTAATGAAACATAATCTAACAACATCAAAAATAAATAACGACTAATTTCAGATTTTGTTAGCCAAATATCTAGATGGGATTTTTTTTTTTTTGAAAATTAGAGTGTTTAAAAATTATTTTAGTAACTAAATCATTTGTTATAATATATGGAAAATTCACTATAAGAAAGTGATGAGTTTTATAAAATATAATAAATAATTATAATTCGTCATCAGAATTTGACGAGTTCTATATAATTTTCTAAAAATTCATGTGATGAGTTTTATTTTCTTAATATATTTTATAAAACTCGTCATTCTCTTATAATAAATACTATCACTACAACAAATTTATCAATTTATGATAAAATTTCTGTATGACATTGCATATAACGTCACAAAACATACTATAATGTGACGTTTTTTCTTTTCGTCATATTTATTGATTAATGGTATATTTTTTATGACAATTTCAAAAATGGTCATTGATTTTCGTCACTATAAAATCTTCCCACCAAATTTTTAGTGGGAAACATTTTAATAACATTTAGATAAAATAATGACATTGTAAAATCGTCTCCAATGAAAAAAAGGTAATAGTGACGATTTATTATAATGACGATTCGATTTCAATTAGTGACGTTGTACATTTGTCACAAATAATCACAAATAAGTTTTTATTTGTGACAATTTAATTCGTCATATTTTATAAAACATTAAAAGTGACGTTTTATTATTGTCACAAAAAATAGTTTTAGGATGACGAAATCAATATTTATCACTTCTTGTTATCTTTTTTTTATATGACGATTTTAAAAGACATCATGAATTTACGTCAAGAATTCGAGCTCAAGTCAAGTCTAGTCCAATCTATTCAAGTGTTGACGAAACTTTGATTGAGTTTAATCTTTATTCAATAATTGTTGAATATAACATATAAGCATATAGCCCTTTTTAAATTGTGTTACTGATAAGCTTACTTGTAATGGCACAATCGAACACAATATTTTGTTTTCTACATATTTTATTAAATAATTTAATAAATTATAATAACCTCAAAATACATTTTATACACTAAAAATAGATAAAACTATCCTACAATGACTCTTAAAAATATTAATTCAAAATTGACCTTTCAAAGTATGTTTTTCCGTTGTATCGACTTTCCAACAATCTTATATAAACAATTATATTAACTAGATCATAAAAAATATTGTTACATATTACAACAACTTAAAAAGTAGCTTGATCATGACAAGACCAATGAAACCTTACGAGAACACAAGTCGTATTTATGCTTGTATAGAAAAAGTCAAATATTTATGTCAAATTATTTTTAATAATTAAAAAACAATTTTTTTTTATTATTTTAAATATTCATGCTCAGGGATGTTTCACCGAAATCTGGGGACGTTTCAGGGATGGCATGTGACTTTCACAAATCTTTTTGTCATTTTACATCTAAAAAAATCACAGCATAACCTAATTTCACAGCTTCTCAATACCCTCTTTCACCGTCTCTCAACTCTCATCACCATAAATTAGAAAACAGTTTTCTTTCATTCCAAAAACTAAATTTGTGCTGCTGAAGTGAAGACTTTCAGGTTTCAAACTTTCAGTTGGCTATGTAAATTCTCCAATTTCTCTACGTTTTTCAATTTATTTTCTCTTCCCTTTTCAATTTATTTTCATCTGGATTGTAAGATATATCTGCATCGATGCAAAATACGAGGACCTTGAAAAATATCTCATAGGTGATTTCAATTTGAAAAAAGTTCCGGCTCATTGGCGAGGGATTGTGAGAAATTTACGTGATCCAAGGATATCTAGATGGTTGAATAAAGATACCTTTGGTTGGAAAGTAGGAGATGGAAAGTATATTCTGTTTTGGGAATATAGTTGGTGCTCGGAAAAACCTTTGAGCATTCTTTTTTCTCGATTATATAGGCTATCCTCTAGAAAATGGGTACTGGTTGCATCATTAGTGAATCTCTAGGTGTCCAATGAAATAGATTGGTCCTCCAAAGCGCGATAGGGAGTTGGAGTCTGCGAAAAAAATTAGACGGTTAGTCATTAAAGTTCCAATATATGATGAGTCCCTGATAGGTTAATTTCGTATCCAGATTCTTTGGGCATTTTCTCATTGAGAAAGCTTTCTAATCTTTTGATTGAAGCTAATTTGGAGGAGAATGATCTTACTTTAGACATATTGTGGAAATTAAAGGTCCCCCCAAACGTCAAGTCCTTGTGGTTTTTGAAATTAAATATAATCCCCACTTTAGAATTCATGATAGCTAGGGGCATTGCAATAGAGAATCCAGATTGTGGCTGTCCTTGGTGCCATTCGGATAAGGAATAAGTCTTTCATTTATTCCTGGACTGTGAGTTTATTAGAAATTTCTGGTTTTTGTTCTTTCAATGGTGGGAAATCCCTTGGTCGAATTTAGTTCAATGGAGGATTTTTTTGGGGTTCTGCTTTAATTTTCATCTTCAGGGGCTGTTGAAGTCGTTTTGGTTTATTTTTTACAATGTTTATGATTTTTTATATATATTTATAATTTTAAAATTATTTTATATGTCGTAACTTTGCCGTCCCCGTACCATGTAATTTTAAAAATTGTCATTCTCCGTCCCCATCCCCGTATCCGTATCAGTGCAACATAGGTTGCTACTCATTGTGAAATTCTATCATGTGGTTAAGAGATCGAATGCTATTTTCATTTGATTGATGCTACACTTCTAAAAGATATTTGTTTAAGTGAATTAGGATAGATACAATTGTTGGTGTTGAAGTGCATGATGGATGATGTAATTCCCTTCTTATTCATCAAAAGATTAAGAATGGTTTAATTCCAAACAACTTGGAATAACTATATTCTAACCGAGAAGTAAATGAAGAGTTTCTATGGGTACATGTTGGTAAAAGAAAAACACTAAACGTGCAGATTTTGTAATTAGCTTATGGTGGCTGATTTTTATGTATTTTCTTGTTTAGTTTTTACTACTGTGTTTCATAGTATTTTACTAACATTTGTATGCAGATCTTATGCTTGCAGGGATCACCCCCCAATTTTCCTGTTTCATTAATTTGGCAGTTCATTACCAACTCAATTCAATTTATAGTAACTTGAAAACTTTAGATGATTAGTTGCGAAGTTAAACATCCATTTCTTTCTACCATCCGTAGCAGCTGATTGGATTTTTTTTTTGTGATTTATGTATAGGGTATCACAATGACAGCTTCTAGTTGGTTAAAGGGTCTTAACCTTGTAGTGGAAATATAATTGTTTTCATTCTACCATAGCTATCTTGTTTTCAAGTAGGATGATTTGCATTATGTTAGTAGGATAAATTTGACATATTTCATTTTTTAGTCTGGGACTGTTTTTTATTATTCTCACTCCCTATAAACATGAATACACGCATGATACGACTAACTGGCTTGTTTATTATTTTCTTTTGTATGTGTAGTTTGTCTTGCTTCAAAAGTGTTCATGTCGCCAGTCTTAATTAACTGGCTACCTGCTGCATGTTCCTATAGACTCTTGTTACATAGGTGCACAAAATATTTTATAAAATATGTGATTTAGGGTTAAAAAGATTATCAAGAAAGTGAAACAGAAATCTTCTTCTATGTATTGTACTTTTGAAATAATTTTGTTTTAGAGTTATATTATTTTTGCAATTTTTTTATTTTGCACCAGATTATAGTACTAGAAGCGGTTCATCAATTTCAATATCTAGGTAATTGGCATATTTTTTAATATTTTTATTTTCATGTTAAATATAATTTAATTTTTTTGTATAGTTTAGATGGTTTTGTCAATTTTATTTTAATATGTACTTTGGTAATTTTACATAGTTGTATTTGCTATGGTTTTAGTTTTAGGATCTCTTTGTTCTTACCCAAAGTAGTTGACATTTTACATAATTGAATATTTTATATAGTTGAGATGGTTTAGTTAAACTCAAACGGAGTTTATGAGATCTACTTTGTTAGCCGTCATAATTTTGTGCCTTCACTTCAATTTTCACTTCAATTTTCAGGTAAACAATATATTTAAATAAATAAAATAATTATATAGTTTTAACTATGACTATTGACATGCTAATTATTTTTGTAGCTTCAAATGATACCACAAACTTATCATCAACATACTCGCAGTCGACACAAGATATGGATTGAGATTCTCGCAAAAATTTATTCCACAAGTCATATTATGGTCATATTATTTTTATTTTCTTTGAACATTTAAGTGTTTTTATATTTATAAAAATGACATTATTATGTTTTCTAGTAAAACATTCGTATAAATTTTATTATTTTACAATAAGTAAACTATGTTATTTTTTCTTTAGATTAATATAATATTTTCATTTTAATATATATTGTCATATTATGGTGACAATCTTTATTTTGTCACTATATTGGAGAAAATTGTATAAGGTGACGTTATGCATAATCATCATTTAAAATACCATTACATAACATTATATTATGTCACTAAAAATTTGACAATATATCTTTCGTAACATATATGTTGATTTTATTGTATTATTCGTGACGATATAAATTATTAATAAATATATAATTTAGTGACGTAACTAACTGTCATGCAATATAAGTTATAAAATGACGTTATGCATAAGTGTCATTTATAATACTATTAGATAACATTATATTACGTCACTAAAAATGTGACAATATCTCTTTCGTCACATATAGATTGATTTTAATGTATTATTCGTGACGATGTGAATTATTAATAACAAAATTTTATATAATTTAGTGACGTAAATAGTTGTCATTGAGTATCAATTATAAAGTGACGTTATGTATAAACGTCATTTATACCGCTAATAGATGACCATGTATTGTGTCACTAATATTGTGATAAAATTTTCTTTCGTCACGTATACAAAGAAATTATTGAGTTATTGGTGACGATATGGTTTATCAATGACGAAAATGTACATTATTTGGTGACATAATTAATTGTCATTGAATGCAAATTATAATGTGACATTGTCCATTAACATCACTATATGTTTAATAATACGTGACGAAATCTTATATATCGTCACATTTGACATTTAGTGACACATCTAGGCTGACGCTCGTCATGACGTCAATTTTTGAGTCACAAAATATAAACAATGACGTAAATGTATGTTTCAATGACAATATTTTAGATGCCACAAATAATCAAATTTATTGTAGTGTATATATATTATAACAAATGATCTAAATTTTAAAATAATTCTTAAACATCATCATTTTTCATTTTTTTCCCACCTACAATATTCTCAACATTGAAACGTAATTTCATATCAAGTAAATCTAAACTTTTTGTTTTTGTTGAATCATAATACTCACAAAAACTTTGTAATAGAATGTAAAGATAACGTAATTTTTTTTTATTAGAGACCGATTACTAGAATTAAAAAAAAAAATCTATAAAATTTAAGGAGATGTAAATATATTATTAATAAAAAATAATTAAAATATATAATACTTGAATCTATGATAATTTGTTTTTTTTTCAAGAGGATAGCACTTGTAATCATTTCCTTCGGTATACTTCTAAATAAATTATTATATTAAGTTCATTCTTAAGATTGCAATTTAGCTATTAATTAGAGGTGTAAATTAATTGAGCTTAAATGAATGATGTTTTGTTTGAGTTTGTTTGTTTAATTTTAAAGGTATTTATGATCGATTCATATTTGTTTGTTTAGCGTTCGCGAACATATTCATTTAACATATGTGAATATATTTATTATATATTCAATAATTAAACAAAATAAATTAAATAAATCTTATACAACCTCCACAACAACAAAATACAATCTTTAAAGTCTAAATTTTACTAGTGTTCAATTTAATCAATGCATTCAGCGATATTTAGAATGTAACAAGATACAACTGCCAGGCCCTTTTCAGTCATTTACTTACCCCAAAGATCTCTACCCTTACATATCACATGGGCTTTACTTCCCACCAACCTTTCCCACTGCTTCGCTCCTCCGCAAATTCGTACGGACTTTCATTTTTTTTTTTCTGAAAATAAAAAAATTTGAATCAATTATTTTCTTAAATTAAAATTTTGATTTATTTTTAATTTCCTCCTTTTTTTTCTTTTCTTCAATCTCGTATGCCTAGATGAAATAATTTTGAATTTATCCAAGTTCCTTGTTTTTTAACTTTGACTCTTTAGTGTTTTTTCAATTGATTTGACACTGGAATAATTTCAATCGCGTTTGAATTGTTTCTTCGTTCGGTTAAATTCTTGATATAGTTAAGGTGATTTCTTTTTTGAGTTATATTTGCGATGTTAATGTGATTGAGACCGTTTTGGCTTACATATCTTATATTTATAGCCTTGAATCATGCATTTAATGGAATTCGTTTTGTAATTTTCAGATTGATTTTAACATTGGAATTTGATATATTAATTTTGTTGCAGGTATCGTATTTCCTGTCTGACTTAACTAGCCGAAGCTTAATATCGGTAATTTGAGATTCATCTGTTGTCTATTCTGATTGACATTCTTTTTTTTTGCTATTTTTGGTTAGCTTCTTCTTAGAAGAGTTTTTCGTTCTATTGCATGATTTATATGTAATGTCTCTTTGAAATTTTTTGTTTATGCTAATTTATAAGTTTGGTTATTATAAGTTTTGGTTCATAAGAAGTTGGACAAATACATTGAACTCATTGGACAAGACGGGAAATTAACTTATTTGATCTATCCAATGCAAACCAGTAGATCATTCTTCTCTAAAGTTGATATTAATTTGTTTACCTGAGACTTAAATAGCTCCAAACTACCACAAATGTGTTTTTCCTCATTCTGTACTCAATTCAGCCTTCATCTTTATACTTGCATTTCTAATTTTGTTATTGCGTAGGCATCTAGTTTTCCTTTCTCATATGAGTCGCTCTGATCTGTTCTGTACCCAACATTGAGTCCCGTAAATTATTATCCGTCTTATCGATGGCTGGGAAAGCTTCTCATACGATTAAACAAAATTGTGGTTATGCAAGACTCCTATGTAATCTGCTAATGATTTATTTTTCTGTATGTGATTTGGGTAATCAGAATCCGTTAGCCTGCTTATGTTGTCATCTAGTCAGCAGGAGCTGTTTCCTTGTGTCAAAGCTATATGTGCTTGATGTTGTTTTTGAAGTCAATTCATTGTGACATGTATTTTCTAGAACTTGTATGATTTAACCCAAATATATCTTCTCCTGGTGCATTTGAGATTATAACCAAATGAAAAGCCATACTTCTCTGGACTGCCTTTCCTCTCATATATTATCCATCTTCATATTTTTCCTTATTTTACCGGACAATGTACTTTACCTTCCTTTATGCTGTTAATTTCCTTGCCTTTATGGCATGAGTTGCATTTGTGAATATACTAGCTGCAGGTTTGAGTTTGTAATACCCCTTTTTTGTTCCCACATGGACAAATTTAATTTTTAATTGATACAGTTTCTTAATTGCTTTTTTTGCAGGTACTCTTGGAGCAAAATTCTACTAAAATATTTTATACGGTGAAGAGAACTAAAAATGGAGTTGCATTGCCTGAAAGATTCATTTGAGCGTGTTAAAAAGAAGCGAAAGGTGTCATATTCTAAAACACATGAAGTTACAGAACTGATTGTTCAGGAAATCGAGATGGTGCAGTCAAGCACCCTTGAATATAAATCCAAACTAGCTGAACTGAAGAAAAAGTTGCAGGAAGTTGCTCCACTCAGTCAGCTAGAAGGCACCCAAAAGAAACTGAACATAGCACTGAGCAAGTATCCAAAAGCTCTTGAGAAAGTCCTTAATCCTGATATATCCAAGGCTTATCGAAATGTTGAGTTCGATTCCCGTGTAGTTAACCAATTAATTGCCAGCCATTTCTATCGGCAATGGCTGTTCGATGTTGGTGATTGTTTCATAGTTGAGGCTCAGGATGTAGATGCTGCTGCTACTATGAAATCACTTTTCCAGGAACTTTATCAAATGCTCGAAGTCATGAAGTGTTGGGACCTGGAGCCTGCCCTAAAATGGGCGGCTGCAAACTCCAATAAACTAAAAGAAAATGGTTCAGACCTTCAGCTGATACTCCATCGTTTACAGTTTTTGAAAATACTTAAAAAGGGAAGCAGAGATGAAGCTCTCAAGTATGCGAGAACCAACTTTGTTTCTTTCGCCGGAAACCACATGGCCAAAATCCAGAATCTCATGGGGTGTCTCCTGTATCCTGATAGACTTCACGATTCCCCATATGCTCATTTATTATCACTTACCAATTGGGATACAGTGACTGAGGAACTCACCAGGCAGTTCTGCAATCTTCTGGGGCAATCATATGAGAGCCCATTGAGTGTCACAATAGCAGCAGGAATCCAAGCATTGCTACCTCTTCTCAAGTTTATGACTGTTATGGCAGGAAAGAAGCACGAATGGCAATCGATGAAGCAGTTGCCTGTGCCGGTCGATTTGGGCAAGGAATTTCAATTTCATTCGATATTTGTCTGCCCCGTATCCAAGGAGCAATCAACCGATGACAACCCGCCAATGCTGATGTCGTGTGGTCACGTGCTTTGCAAACAGTCTATCAACAAGATGTCAAATAACGGCTCGAAAAGTTTCAAGTGCCCATACTGTCCAACTGATATCAATTCGAAACATTGCAGGCAACTGATTTTCTGATTAAAACCCTGATATGATAATGGGTTTATATTAAAAAAACAGTTTCCTTTAGACTGAACCGAAAATGCGGCGAACTAGAAATCGTTGCGATGTGGCCAAAAGTGATGAAATGGTGGTAATTGTTGGTCAGTAAAGTGTTGGTGTTTATTGATGAACTTGTTGTAAGTAGACATTCTTTCCCATATTCATGCCGGTAATAGGGGGAAAAACAAGTTGAGTTTTTCTTACATATCTAATAATTTCTATATATATGTGACATAAATGTGATACAAATGAGAGTGATGATTTAGATAATCTTATTGTGATATTTGTGAAGTACAAATTAAAAATGAGTAAATTTCAAGATTAATTATTGAGGGTTAACTGTCATTAAACTTTTAATTAAGGATCATATTAACGATGTTTGAAATCAAGATGATACTCAAGTGTTTTGATTGATGTAACAAATGGAATAGTATAAATTACTTTTTGTCGCTCGACTTTGTTTGTATTTCTGTTTTAGTCGTTTAACTTCAAAAAAATTCAATGTCATCACTAACCTCAAATTTTACTCGTTTTGGTCACTTAACCGTTAAGGGGGTGTTTGGTTCAAGTATTGTGAGATTCCCATGGGATGGGAATCCCACATTCCCATGTTTGGTTGACCCGGGAATCTCATTCCCGGTAATGTTTTATTACCAATAGTAAATTTTTTGAGGTATATTACCGGGAATGTCATTACCTCCCTTCCCTTAGGTATTGTAACATTACCAGCGTTTTGGACTAAAATGCCCTTAAATTTTTTTTTTCAAAAATATCCTTCTTCTGTCATTGAATAATAAAAATTATACGAAGGTTAAATTACAAATTTATACTTAAATTATTTTAGATTTACAAAAAAAAAATTTATAATTAAAATTTTATATGAAGTTCAGGGGTTAAATTTTTTTTTACCATTTCATTAAACCTTTTTTATATTTTTTATTTTGTAAAAAAATTATATAAATATTATGAATTTAATTTTTTAAAGAAAATATATAAATATTTTACAATTTGTAATATTATATAAATATATAATAAGGACAATTTGGTCAAATATACATTCCAATAATCTTTTATTCCTTTAACCAAACACGGTAATCTTACATTCCTGCTAAACCAACCAAACACAAAATACAACATTCCCAGTAATCTTATTCCCTGGTAATCTTTTATTCCCACTGGTAATCTTACATTCCGTGAACCAAACGCACCCTAAGTGTTTACCATCAACACCAAATCGTTGTGTTAAAGAGCTTTTATTTCTAAAATTTTAATCTTATTCTTTCTCAGTACTAGAATCTTCACCATTGGTTCGTTGGACATCATTTCTGACGTAATTGATACTAAAACATTTTTCTTTTTCCCTTTTTCTTCTTTTCAGTTTGGTTTTCTTAAAATTCCCTTAACACTCACAATACTCAACTAGAGCTTTGACTTATCTTGGTCTAATATGTGATCTTTACCAAATTTAAAAGAAAATATTTTGGTGCTGATGAATAAAAAGGAATATTAAAATATGGGTTTGAGGGAAAGTGAAAGGAGCTAAGGAAAAGAGAAGTAAAGGAGATGAGCAAACTAACCTGTTGCTGCCAAGGAAGATAGACGCTTGGATGATGAGGCCAGCAGTTGAGTGAGCTGGAGACAGTTGCATATAAGGACAAAATACAAGACACGTGTTAAAAAATTAAGGATTAGTATCCTTGTATAGAACTAATGAAGAAGTTGGATATGAAAACTTTTATTGAAATATTCTCTGCAAATATTCAAGCTCACGTCTTAAGGTTGTGATAGATATTTTCTCTGAACTCTATATTCATATACATAAAGAGTAGATATCATATATAACTTTAATATTAATGGATACTAAAATCATAATAATAAAGTACATCAAAATCACATATAATACATAATATTTTAACAACAATAGCATCCACATAAACAAATATTCTTAATACTCATCTTTTAATATCTATGAAGGAAAAATTTTAGAATACATGTCACACACCGAAACACACCACTAATGTGACACAGTGATACACATTAACTAAGTTGTCTTTTTTAAATAAATATAAAAATATATATAATGATATACCCACAATTTATCTTTTACTATTTATTTAGTTTAAATTTTAATAAGAATATAATTAATCTATATTTTAACGTAGGCCGATGAATCCATGATGTTCAAGCTTCTCTTAATAACAAAAAAATTCTTCACTTTTAAGAAAAATGTTTGTGAGTAAATTAGATTTAAAATCATCATTTAAGTAAGATGACGATAAAGTAGTCATCTTATTATAAATTAATAACGTTGATAATCAATTTGTTACTTTTAAAATTGGAACAAAAATTTACTCCATTTGTTCCATGGTCATGAAAAATGCAGAATACCAGGTCACAAGTTATCACAAGAGGCAGATAAAACAAGCTAGTTTTACGATTAAACACACATTTAACAGAATTCGGCACATCTAAAACATTACAGGCTCCTACTAAATAACCTTTTTTTTTTTTGGGATAAACACTGAACAATTATCATAAACTTCTAACAAACACTAAATTTTGTGCAATCAAAACATAGATGACATTTGAATGTGATAATAATCTTCCTTTCAGCACACGGCGCTCCATTATCACAGCTTCCTCCACAAAAACGAACTTTCAGCTGGTGGTCGGAAATGATCAATCATGTTTAACAGTCTTTCTTGGATTTGTCCATTGCTCTAGGAGCTGTATGACAGAGAAAATACCGGTTAACAACACTAAAACCTCAGATTTCGTCCGGTTACGATTCAATAGGCAAAGTGAAAGCCAGAGATACACTGCTCGTTCAATAGACCCCCCGGGAAATTGTATAATAGGAGTGCAAATCATATGCATACACCCAGATCCCACTAGGAAGTGACATGCAAACAAATAAATTGATGAATTTGATCGATTCTGCAGGAGCTCACTAAACAGAAACTAACTTACCTAATCCGATCGCATCAGTGCTCTTCAGGATTTTCAACCTCCTACATGTTTCAATGAACATCCTGCAACAATGTCAAACTACAGTTCAGGGGTTGAAGGTAACCTGTATGAGGAAATCTCAATCTATAAGTTTAAATTATTCAGCACTTATTAATTTCAGTATTAGCAAATTCAGTCTAGAAAGATACAATCTGCCTATCCGATTTAGGATTTACTGGAAAAGAAGCATTTGGGAAAAATAAAAGGCAAAGGCAAATAGTAATTTTAAGTCAATGAAGCCTACTCCCATGGAACATCCCCGACCAGCATCCAGTCACCATCTTTATCTTCGTATGTAAGCACATATTCTGATCCATGCAAAAGATCCCTCAACTTCCTCTCACTCAAGATTTCCTTCCCGGGAGCAGCATGAGCCCCATATTGACCTGAAATCATAATAAAAATGTGGTAATCAGATCTATTCCAATCGTTGGAAGTTTTCTTTTATTTTTGCACGTTTCTTGCATCCAGAAGGATTCATCTCCATATTACAAGGCAAAGAGTGCAGCTTACCAAGGGTAAAACAGCTGAACATCTTCTCCAGAGCAGAAGACAGTTCCAGATAGGTCGAATACATTCTCAAATCTACCTTCCTCAGATAAGGAGCTCCGTCCATACTGACCTTGACAAAAAGAGCAGCAGGTCCTGATTTTCCATCAACTTCGTCATTGTTCTTTGAAGAAGTGGCCAGGGTTTTAGTCCTAAATGATCTTACCGGAGGCCAACCAACAACCTGAGCCCTGTCAAGGATAGGATGTCATAAGAACAATGAAATAGGTCAAGATATAATTCCCTTGTTCTCATCAAAGCTTAAGAATCCTCTCTGAAGCTAATTATACTTACTTAGCAGCAGGTGCACTGCTATTGTTGTTAGAAACACCGGTTCGGTTAAGATTGGTTCCAGTAGTGGCACAAGGTTGTTCTTGTATAGCTTTTGCAGGCCCATCTTTCTTTACAGATGCTTGAGCTACAGAGTATTTTCCATGTGACAGAGGTTGCGGAGATTGAGAGTCCAAACCAGCACCATGGAACATCCAATTTTTTTCAGTGTACATAATGCCTTTCACCTCGGAGAATCCATCCATGGTGTCGGAGAACCCCCTTTTGTTTCCAGTAACAACACTTTTCTGCGATGATGAGCAGATTCCATCTTTAGAAGGAAGTAAAGGAAACAGTGCCTTCTCATCGAGTTTTCCCGAGTTCAGCAAGCAAAGCTCGGTTTCTCTCTCAGGGGACTGGGATCCTGGAAGACCAAGCCTCAGTTCGGTAGCCTTCAAATTCAGATTATTCTTGTTATCCTCCGATAAGCTGGTGACAGTAGAGTTGTCAACCGAAGAAAAAACTGATAATCCAAGATAATTCCACTCCTTTATCTCCAAGCCATTTGGGTGGATACAGTCAACAGCTGGAGAAGAAACACTACTTTGCCTTTCCTCCTCCACACCGAGCAGTGGCGGAGACATCCGAACTCAATCTTCTCAAAACTTTCCACTTTAAATTACATAGAAAAACAAAATAGATATCACTTCTGTAAACCTCAAGAATAACACCTTTTTAGCCAAATTATTTGAGAGCACAAGATTTACAAGGATATCTAAACTAAACAATCAAAAGTACAGTTCCAGGTGAAAATCCACCCATGCATCAGCTGTTTCAGAACCCAATAACATCATTCATGAAACCGACTTGAGCCCATTTTTTCAAACAACTTCAGCTTAACATACTTGGTCAGTATTTGCCATTCTATTGCTTTTAAGGGTCAAATCTAACGAAAGTTCTTACTTTCTAAAGCTGAAAGTAATGGTGTAATGTAGATAACTTCATTAAAACAATATGACATTATAAAATTAAATTGCATACCAAAAATGATCCCAGTTTTACAAAGAATCTTACCAAAAAATAATAGAGCTTAAAGTAGGGGGGGAATAAAACGTGAACCACAAATTTTGTTTAGCTCCTAAAAAATTAATAAGAACATAAAAAGTCAACTGTCTTGTGCATTAGAATAATTCATTTTTCCGTGAATAATAAGCAGGCCGAAGAAGAGAAAAGGAAACCAAAAAGGAAAAAAAAGGTAATAATCTTTTCCCTTCCATTTTCCGGGCAACCAAACAGAAGGAACAGAAAAAAAATAAAATGGAGATCTTAATGTTGATCTCAAGCAAAGCTGAAAAAAGCAAATAAAAATAACAGACAAAAAAGCAAATCTATATATAAAAAGAGCTTACAGAGTAAAACTGGGTAGAGTTCTAAAGTAGACAAAGAGAAGAAGATGGATTACTGCTTTCAAAAATTGCAGGCGAAAATGCACGACCTACAGAGTAAAATAAAAGCAGAGAGAGAAACTTAGATATAAGATTAAGACCCTTCTTCCATTATATGCAGATAGCAACAACAGCCCCAAAAAAATAAAAAGGGGAGGGGCAAAAGCGAAAATAAACACAATAATGGGGCAGGTTGGTTTTTATACTGCGCCAATACTGGGGTGGGAAGGGAATCTGATCGGACGGTTGATATTGTTTGGAGTTGGAGAGATCAGGACCGTTTGATTCTTCCCAAAAATATATAAATGTAAATGTGTCGCTATTCTAGGTGACATTTCTAGTAAACTGGTTTTGATTGGTTGTTGCTCTCTAGTTCAGTGTCTGAGTTTTGAAGGCGCAAAATATCGAATTCACCCTTCTTACATAAAAATACGCTTGTATTGAATCTAGGGAGGCCAAGTGTCCAATATATACTTTTTTAATTATCTAAATTTAAATATGTTTATAATTTGCAAATTATTTAAATTTTTAGTTTTTAAATAACATTATTAAATTATAATATAAAATGAATATAATTATTTTTCATATATTCGAATCTATACAAAATATCTTGAATTTTTAGTTATATTTCAAATATTCGTATTCACAAAATTTTGAAAAAAAATATTATTTTTTATAAAAAAAACATTATAAAATAAAAAAAATCAAACAATATTTCTGAATCATATAAAATACATTAACGTAATAAAAAAAAACTTAAAACATATGAAATATTGTAGTAAAATCATATTCGAAGTAAGTTGAATGTCTACAAAATACATATAAAAAATACAATTTCTTATAATTATAAGAAAATATAAGTATATTTTTAATAATTACAATTTCTTTCCAACCCAACATGCCATCAGTTCTTAATTAGATCTGATTTTATTTTAGGAGAATTTGCATATACATGATTGTTGTTTATGAGTGAATAAAGCTTAACTCGAAAAATTGATATTTTCGAATTGATTGGATTTGGAAAAAAATGATTCGAATTGATTCAATATAAATTCAATTTGACTAAAAAAATTTAAATTCGTGTTGAGTTATAAAATATAACTCGAAGAACTCAAAAATTCTAGTAATTAATTGATAAGTTTTTAAGTTTGAGTTGAGTTACTCAACTCTGTATGATATATTTACATCATATATAAAAAATATATATGTATTGTATCTAGTTATAGAAATTTGTTTAAATTAAAATCAAATTGTATCATAATATTATTAATATTTACAATTAAATTTAAACACAAATCTAAACAACTCAAAGTCGACTCGAATTTTATAAATTCGACTAAAAAAATTAAATAAAGTTTGAGTTGTAAAATATAACTCGTCAACTCGAATAAATCAAAAAATTTTGACTTAACTCGATTCGATCAAACAATCACTCATAATGTTGTTTAATGTGACATAAAACTAAAACATTTTGCATTGGAATATAAATGGAAATGATAATCGATTGTTAACCCAAAAAGAAGATTATTGTCTACCCAAATCTATCAAAATCCAACAACTCATCCATTCATTGCTCCTTTACATTGTAAGACAATGTCTACACACAACATATATAATCATTAACTTTGCTTCTTGTGACATCCCAATCTCAATTGGAGATGTTTAAGGAAAGATAACATAATATAAGATTAAGAAAAAATATTATTTTTTTATCAAAAATATTAATATCGGACATTAGTTAAAATATTATTTTTTTACCGAAAATATTAATGTCAAAGATATTCAGTTTAAGTAGCGAAATTAGTATTTCTGATAGAAAAAATAACATTTTAAGTAGTGCACTGTTGAAAATATTTAAAAAATATTAACATTTCCGGTAGCATATTTTATTAGTCTTATATTAGGTGATGTACAACAGAACTATCTTTGAATATTCGTTAAGATATGCAAGTTGAAGTATTTTTTTTTAGTATATATTATGGGTAAGTTATAAGTTTAATTTTTATATTCTAATTATTTAAATTATTAAGTTAGATTATACTATACGTAAATTATGATTTTTGTTTATGTTTCTTTTGGTAGGTATTTTCATTAGTTTGAGTTTTTTTTTTATGCAAGAATGAAACACATAATCCTTGTTATCAAATAATATTGTTAAAAACAATATTATCATATCAATAATGACATTAGGATAAATTTGATTAATCAAAAATCGATTCAAATTATATTGTTTGAATGATTTATAAATTCAAAATTTGTGATTACCTAAGTTTGAATTAAATTTTATTTTTATTTAATTTATAATAAAGTTTAATTATTTTATAATATAAAAATAAGTATTTTATATTTAATAACAGTAAAGATAGTTAAAACACACCATGTACCAAATATCAATAATTTTTATTTACTTAAAAGTTAATATTTAAAAAATGTGAAAATAATTAAAATTTTATGAAATAATATTTAAAACTCATAAAATACTTTATTTCATAAAAATAAATAAATAATTTAAACTCAATATAAAAATCAATAATTAATATTAACTGAACTAAAAATGGAGGAATGAATAAAAAAAATTAATAAGTTAGACCGTGTAGATAATGGCACCTATGCCATATCAAAAGACATATTAATAGTCAGTTGACTATTATTGATCATAAATAAATAATTTAAAAATTATATAAAGTAGAATTATTAAGAAAATTTAAGGATATAAAAAAATATAAAAAAAGAAAATTTTGGATAAAATAATAATGGAAGAGGGGAAAAAGTGAGAGCCAGAAAGGGGATGTTGGTTGGTGGGGATGATGTAAAAGAGCTTAAAGGCTTAAATTATATTTTATTTATTTTATTTATTTTAGGTATAATGAGGGGTATAGTTAAAGATTACAGGGGTGGTGAGTTTTTCAGATTTTAGATAAATTTGATTTTTTAAAAATAATTTAATTTTTTAAAAGTAAAATTTAATATATAAACACCACATGTATCATATTGAGTGTTTGATAATTTTTTTAATGAACGTGATAAATTATATGCTTAAAATATTAAAAAAACGTTAGACAATTATCTTTGAAAAAATTAAACACTTAAAATAAATAAAATATATAATTTAAAATTTTACTTTTTTACTTAAACATAATTAAAAAATATGGGATTGGAGATGAAGAGGGACAGAGGAAAACATGGGAAATAGGTGTGATTGGAGGGGACAACGAAAGCGGCATTTTTAAGTCAGTCTGCCGGGCGATGATCACTAGACAACCTATATCATCCCCCCCTTTTTTCATTTTCCATCATTACCCCCCTCCTCTCTCTCTCTCTCTCTCTCTCTCTTCCTTATTCTATACTTATCAAGTTATGCTTATATATTATATTGTATAAATATAATATTTTAAATACTGTTTTTGTTTACAACATGTAACTATAAACATATCATTAATAAGTTCAGTCTGTTATATAATGATACATTTTTATTGAAAAATCTTAACTAATATTAATTTTAAATATATATAATATTAATAAATTACTACAAAATATCTACTCATTCATATATTCTCTTAATTATTTTTATTAAATGTGTTTAATTAATTCATATTATCAACTGTTTTTTTTCAAATCAACTAATGGAGATAACATTAATAAATGAATCTATAAGAAAATTATTCAATTAATAAAAAAGGAACAGTGTTGTTTATTTTAGGTGGTGTGTGGGAGAAATGGGGTACACTGGTAGCATTATTAGTGGTTGAGCATGCCCTTGAGGGTCACAGAACTCACAGCCGTTCATGACTCGTGCATGCCACACACTCATCATCACCCTTACATCATTCTTTCGTCACCTTTCAATTTTAACTCTAATATTAATTTAGTCCCTTTATCCTCGTTTGACATTTAATGTCTATTAGTTGGAAAACTTATCGAGTGAGTCGATCCTTAGTTTAGTAATGTTTGATTCATGTTCACTAAAAAAATTATTGTTTGACTAGATTCGTTACTCGTTAAGTTTAATAAAATTTTATTCAATTTGCGTTCATTAAAAGATTTACGATTCTACTAATCTCCTTATTCGTTAAACTCATTAAATTTTTTACTTTATTTTTAATTGTATATAAATTCTAGTAATTAATTATTTAGTATCTCTTTTATTAAAAAATTAATAATAATTTAACATCTTTCTTATTATCTAGGATAAAGTACACAAATAGTCCCTCAATAATAGGACAATGTTTTGTTGAGTACTTCGAGTATTAAAAGTTATAAAATGACATGTGACTATTCATATGTTCCAAACTCATTATTTTATGTTAAAAAATTACCGACCGTCTGAGCTAGACGTAAACATGTTTACTGTGATATTATTCCAAAATCGTTTAAGTTGTATTTTATGGATCAATTTTCTGTTTAGATTATACCATTAAGCCAGTGCTTGAAATATTATGTTGTTGGACCAATGCTTAAAAGCAACGACGATATTAGTAGATATCATTAAAATATAATTTTATTACATCCCAATCAACAAGTTAATTTATAGTTCAGGCATACATTAATTTTTTAATGAAAAAGGGTGAGTTTAGAAAATGGTTAGGTAATAATTTTATAACTTTTAATAGTCACGTAACAACAAAATATCACTCTATAGTCAGAGACCATTTGTATACTTTACTCTATTATCTATTAATAATTATCAATTAAGCTTTGCTCTTTTAATGAAAGAAATTTTAAGGTAAATACGGGAAAAATATAAAAACAATTAACAAATTGCTTATGAACTTATTGAGTCAAGTTAGATCTTACCTAACTCAATTCGTTAAGATCTAAAATCGAGTTTAAATTCGAATCAAGACAACCAAAATATAATATTAATCTAGTTGAGTTCAAACATAGTTGCTCAATTCATTAAGCAACCGTAAATAGGACAAAAATTTGAACAGATTATGATTAAATTTTAATTATTTGAAGTATAATTAAATTAATAATCAAAATATAATTATAGAAAAATTGTAAATGATAACACTCAAATCATAACAAAATATACATATAATCTTTTTTGAGTATTAAAAAATATACATATAATTTTTAATTAAAGACATGATTAAAAAGATATAGATTAAATATTCCATTTCAATCGTAAGTAGGGTAATTAAAACTATAATTAGTAGACCCCATCAATTGGGTCAGGCTGGGCTGCTATCCATTAAGAAAAAAGGAAAAATGCTTGGCCTGTCGAATCAGTATGATTTTTAAATTTCGTTTTTCTAAAGCTTGAATCGTTCGAGTCTGTTAGCTCAGGCGAGTAACTCAGTTCAAAGATAACTTTAGTCTATGATAAGATGATCGCAGTTCAACTTTTACTCTAAAAATTAAAACTCAGACCTCAATTAACCTAATTTTCAATTATTTAATATACTTTTATAACTCCTCCGATTCCATTTTACTACTCTCCGTTTGCGTCCTCGTTGTTCTTTGATCCAAGTATTCTTGTTCTATTGTTTCCTTGAGGATGAACAGCCTTTGTATGACCACAGGTTGACTCATCTTCTTCGCTTCTTTGATGTCGGATTCTTCTTTATTGAGCGTGTATGCATCCAGCATGATCTTAATCCATTTGTGCAGCTCTTTGGGCGTACTGTAAATCGGAAAACACACGGAATATGTCATGCCACCATAATCTGATGGGTGACCACTTTAATCCGAAGAAGGGAACAATGTTTCTTACGTGTATAAAGCGTGAGGATCCTTCGCTTCGTGTTCATTGCCTGGAGAGAAAGCTGTTGCCAACGCAGAGAATCGCTCTTCCGGATCTGTGATGTTTAGTAGATGCTTGAGCAACTTTATCTCTTTCGGTGCAATGCTCTTAAGGCTGCTCTTTGTCGCTTTGTATAACTGATACATGATGTCTTTAACCTGCAAATTAGATGCCGAATACGCAATCTAAAAGAACAGAAAAAACCAAACAGTAGCTGGAAATGGCATATACATCAGCGAGATTCGATGCTCATATCACCGGAAAGGATAACTAGACTTGTGATTTGTGAACCACCGTGTTTGATTCAAAACATCCTAGATACATGTTTATCATGTTTAACAGTCGTCGATTATGTACAGTTTAAAGTTTTAGTCCATCTAATTAAGCTTCTAGACATAAATTTGTTTAATCATCAGATTTAATAGTTGGATGTGATGCGTAACATGTGAATATGGTTTCTTTTCTCTACGACATCTTAAGACGTGCCACTATCACTCCAATCTTATATCCTAATGGTCGATGGGTTGAACAATTATCTCGGTTTAAATTTAAAAGACTTAAATGCCATTGCAACATCTTATACAATTTTAATCCTCAGGAACATGATAATAGATCAAAGAACGAGAGTCCAAGATGCACTAGAAACTGCAATACCTCGTTTTTCATAGTTGTGGAGTCCTTCGCCGATGCCCAAGCACTATTTACGAGTAGAATCAATGATGAGTCGAGTTCCTTTCCCTTGGCAAGGCTTTTGATCTTTTCACAAGCCACATCCACCGAAGGCGAATTTAGTATATCATCAAATTTTGCCTGTGCGGAATCTAAATTCTCCACAGCTTCCAGTGTCTTATCATAAGCACCGACAGCGGACAGACATCTTGCTGCGAGTCGGGCAATCTCTGTTCCAAAAGAAGTAATGGAAAGTTCTTGAATTAAACCAACTCAAGCATTTGAAAGGAAAATGAAACAAGTTTATTTTTTAAGGCATTGTCATTTCTTATCAGCACCAAAATAATAAAGTCCACAAAGAATTAGCATAATGTTTACCATCTCGGTCCTCCAGACCATAACATGTTTCGGTAACTAGATTTAGGTACCGGAAAAACTCATCAGTGAAGTCTTTACGCCGCCTTGTAATGATTGCATTTATATCAGTTGGGCTATCTTGAATCTCCTTAAGAAGTTCACAATGTCTATCCATTTCATCATCGATCTGCAACACTCATTCCTTATTAGACTACTAATAGTCACATTAAAAAAACGAAATCAAGCAATGAATCTCAAGAGTTTCAATACAGAACAATCTACCAATTTGAGCCTATTTACTAAGTCCCCAACAAAAAGTAGTTAAACATGGTGTGTGTTTACGGATTTGTTCAAGTTCCAAAATCACATAAAACATTCACATTCATGACACACATATTTATCACTAAAACCAAATTTATCGAAATTGAACCATGAACCTCAAGTGTTTCGATAATGAACAGTATATTATAGAGCATACCAAGTTCGTTTTTGGGTTTGTTCAAGTTCCAAAATCACATAAACATTTTCACATTTATGATACACATCTTTATAACTAAAACCAAATTTATGGAAATCGAGTCATGAACCTCGAGTGTTTTGATACCGAGCAATAAATTAGAGCATACGAAGTTCGATTTTGGGTCTGTTCAAGTTCCAAAATCACTTAAAACATTCACATCCATAATACAAATTTACCAAACAAGTTACCATAAAAATAAAACATTTTGGGAGATTAAAAGCATAGTTTATACCTTCTTCACCTTGCTCTCCAAAGAAATTAATTTCTGCTTCATAGTTGGATCAATCTCCTCATCTGCACGTACTCGACATCGATTATAGAAGCTTTCTCTATACTTACTCCACTCTTCCCTTAAAGTCAAGTACTTTTTCCAATCTTTTACTCTCGGTTTTTCATTCAAAAACAAGTCAATGATTCTATCACAAAATTGGGTCATTGTACAACCTTCTGCAACTTCGACGTCCACTCTTTCTTCAACTTCAGCATCAGTTATACTACTAGCTCGAAGACCTGAAAATAAAATATTTTTTCTTTAAGTAACCAACAAATACCCAGAAAAGACATGCCAAAAACAACTCGTTTAGAGCAATTAAAGCAGCAAAACAAGAAAAAATAAGAAATACCCAGAACCAGAAAACAGCCTAGGAACAAAAAGGAAGAAATCTAATGCTTACAGGGATTCAAAAGGAGGTTCTTTTCAGGGGAGAGACAGTGCCCTTGTTTTCTTCTTGGGTTAATTTTGAAGGGGAAATGAGAGAATGAAGAGAAAAGAGGGAGTTCGAGGGTTGTGGGAAACAATTTGTCACTGAAAATGATCGACAAAGAGTTGGTGTTGGTGGGGATTGATAGTTTGACCCTCGAAAGACTGCTCATTGCTGCTTTCTTCTTTGCAATGGGAGAACAAGCTGTTTTTATTTCTTTCTTCCTTTCAATGTTCCATTAGCTACATAACCATGGTAGTGGTTAGACATTTTCAGTGGAGGAATCGGATAATATAAATATCTCCGAATCGCTGTCGGTCTGATTTTGTTCTACAAAACTTGTGTTTGGTTGGGCTTACATTTTGTATTGTTATTTCTGGACTAGATTGGTTACTAGAAGGTAGCTCTCTTCTTTGGACTCTTTTGACCCAAACCAAAGAAAAGGTTAATATAACTTTTGGTACCTAAGTGTTGCATAGACGTGCATTTTGGTACCAGACTCTTTTTTGCAATTTGGTGCCTGATTTTTCTTTGGGTGCGATCAGATAATAATTTTCTTTGGTTACATTAATGGTGATGCGGACGTGTTATTATAAGGTAGTTCACATCATTATTGACTTTTTTTAATATCACATCAATAATTTTATTAAGTTTTTAACGACGAGTGATCAAAATAAAATTAAAACGTAATTTTAAGTACGATTTAAAAAACCAATAATTAAATACTTAAAACAGAACAAATTTAGTAGTTGGAATACTAGACGTGTAGTTACCTTACGTTAAAAAAACAAAGCATGCTATTAGCAGATGAGAAATCGAGTCGATACCTCCACAAATAACCCAATGTTTAAATATATTCAGGGTATAAAATTTAAACATAGTAGTTAAAATTTAAACCAATATAGTTTATTTTAACCCAATGTTTAAAGAACTCTTTTGAAAAGAATATATATATATATATATATATATTAATAATCTCACATTAAGTAATTGAGAATGATAAATATTTTATAATTATATGATCTAATAAAAAATATCATATAATTAAGTGATAATATATATAATTTATTTTAAAATTTCAATAACAATTTATCCTATCATTTTTTATATTTTATTTTAATATAAAAGAATGAGTTATACATCATATATTAATCAATTGAAAAGGAATAAAGAATTGAGATTAAACTCGAATTCAATCATCTACCATGATAAGCCAAGTACCATCCTCAGGAATATGACCAACAATATCATAAATCTCATCCCTTACTCCTCTTCTTCTTGCATCTTCAACATTGACATCGAAATCTATACTATAAGGGTCCATCATTATTGACATTCCTCTTAAACCAAGGCAATCGGTTTTATATTTAGACATTGCATTAAATCTCATTCCAAACTTAATTTTCCCTCGTCCCCAATCCTTTTCAATCTCCTTCAATAATGGATATTCAATGATAGGTTGATCACCTTCGTTCCCCGTTGTCACGAACTTAACGAACACGTCTCTTTTCTCCAACGAATCGAGCTCAAAATCGTCAAGAGAAGTCAACGACAACACATTGTGTTTGTAAAGAATTGAAGCTTGGATTTGCTTCATGTGGATCGATAATGCGATGTTCGGGTTATAGATTGTGACGTTGGCCAGCCAATTGGCCGCCAAATTCGAATCGGTGACCATGAAATTCGAAATGAGAACATTGTTTACTTTGATTATCGGTGTTTGTGGGTAGAAAGACAAGGACAGGGGTGATTTCAAGGAGCAAAGGAGGATGGTAATGGTGATTGTAATGGCGGGAATGAGAAGAATTCTAGGGATGTTGAAGGATCCAATGGAGGTCTCGCTGCCCATTGTTTGATTGGTAAAAGATAAAAAGGCATGAAACTTCTCAATGTATATAAAGAATGTGCTCTTGTTGCCTTAACTATTGACTTTTTTTTACAAGGATAAAAACAATTTGACCATTTTTCTTACAGTAATATTTGGATATTTTTTATCCACGTTGATACTTAAATTTGTCTACCCTTTTACATTATTATCTATTGTTTTCTATCCACACTCGTACTTAAACCCTTTTGTTTCACATTGATACTTTTGTTTTGTATCTTTTTTAATTTCTATAACTTTGATACTTTTATATTTCTAATTCTTAGTTGTTACATATTTTTGATAATTTCAAATAAATAAAATATTACAAAGGTTTTTTTCACTTATAATGTGTAATTTTGGTTATTATGACATTATCATATTTGAAGGAAATATTTTAATGGTCTTTAGGGCAGCAATTTTTATATAAGTAATCTCTACAAAGTAATTATCATAGCAATCTCTACAAATTAATTATCATAAACTTAAGCAAGTAAACTTTATGTATTTGTACTGTTGCATGTTAAAACTAGTTATTTAGTTCGATCTGCACATGCATTTGTAAATGTAATCGATTTGAACACTCAAATACCCGTATTCAACATTTACATTCTTCTAAGTACATAAATAAATAATCACAGAAGATTTACACTCGAGTTTACAATAGCATAAAGTGAAACTAAATTTAAAGAGAAATTCTGTTGGAGTATAGGACGGTTATAATCAGGGACAAAGACAAGATTTTATGTAGGGGACGAACTTATAAAATTTTAGAAAGAGACAACCTTACACAATTCAAAAGCGAAAATAGATTTTCAATAAAAAATATTTAAAATATATGATAATTTTAAATTTTCAGCTCACCCGTCCCATCAGCCCATAGGGATGGATGGCTTGATTACCTTGACCAGATCTTTCTCCCTGAGTGTCTCCCCTTTGCTGCTTGGAGCTGATCTCTGTTGATCCTTTTATGAGTAACAGCAGCTGGATTTTGTTGTTCTTACAATCCTTGCAGCAATCTTAGGTGGATCAGATTTCCTTGCCCTTTTGTTATCCAAGGGAGCAGATACAATAACCATATTGTTTTCAATTTCACCAATTCTAGAGAACCTTTTCTTCCCTGTCTCATGCGGAGCACTTACTCTTGGCTGTTTAGACCCATGGCTCAAAGGACGGCTTCTAATCGAGTTCGAACTCCTTAGTATATGAGGTTCAGCCTCACTGATGAGTTCTTTGTCTGTTCTACGTTTCCTTTCATTTGGACTGGCCCCGATTGCTTCATCAAAGTTACGAGCTTGCGCATGTTGCAACTGTTGTTCTTGCTCCCTCAATCTATATTGCAGTTCCTCAATCTGCCAGAAAGTGTCCAATTTATATGTATCTTAGTGCTCTAAGATTTCATTTTCATCACCAAAGTTGAAATTCAACAAAATATTACAATGTAGAGCATTTCCCAATTCGAAGTGGCCAAAAGAATTCATGCGAGGCAAGATCACAAGTGCACAATTACATGCCAGAAACCATATAATAAAGATATGACCTTCCGATGAAGCAAAATGAACCATTAGTGTTCTTGTTCTTTCAGCTTTTTCTCAAGCTCATTAATCTGGAAAAGTGACATAGCAAGTTAAACTATATGTTTTTTCATTGATATATAAACTAATTCAGCTAAATATTTGCAACCTTGAGTTGAAGAGAAAGTGAATGGGACTCAGATTCTTGAATCTGCTCTTTCAGCTTATTCTCAAGATCTTTAACCTGTTTGAATCAAACCACAAGCTATCAACCAGTTTTCTTTTTAAAGCTTATTAAATATTACAATACACAGACATGTACATCACCTTTTGTTGGTAACTAGTAGGCTCCAATTCTTTGACCTTTAGCAGATGATCATACAGTTAGATTGGATAACACAACAGGGTTACATGTCTATAATTATACTTTAAATGGATGGCAACCTTTAGTTGAAGGCTGGCACAACTCTCTTCTCTCCCCTTCAATCTATCCGAAAGTTGTGGGACCTGCTTCTCTGACTGATTTTGCATGCCAGTTCTCAGCTCCAATTGACCTTCAAGTTCTTTGATATTTTCTTGTTGACCTTTGTAAAACTGGTCTCTGCCTTTGGCCTTACTCTCTAGATTTTGTAAGCTCTCGTCTAGTTTCCTTAGAGACTCATCTTTGGATCTACATTCCTGCCTTGCTTTCTCAAGCTTTTATATGAATTTAAAAGTATTTGACGTCAAATAGTTGATCAATCTTCTAATAAAATGATATTCATGGAAAGCAAACACTCCTATTAGACCTACCATTGTTTTCATCTTCTGGAGTACACTTGTATCAACTTGCTTCTTAGCAGGACCCAACTCAACCCCTCGAACTCGAGTTGCAAAATTTAAGGAGCTCAAGGTTTCACTTAAGTCCCTCTCCGAGGGGCTAATTTGCACGTACATCCTTGTCTTGGACCCACCCCCTGATAAATACTAGCTAAGTTAGTTGCAGTGTCGGAAGGCTGATTGTTAAAATAATCTACCTTTAACAGAACTTGAATACCCTCTTCAAAAACTAGTCTGAATTTCCAGATTTACCTAATGAATCTTGAAGTAAATGTGTCAACTTCGAGTGGAATTTTCGGGTGGCTATATGGTTGAGAAAGGTATACAATCACAGGTAGAAATTTTGGGTTTGGGTCGGGTCGGGTTCGGGTGAAAAATACTCGACCTGACCCGACTCGAGAAAAAACATATAATTTTACCTTCATATTTAGAGACAATTACAATAATACTCCTCTATATATTATTTTTTTCAATCAAATTCAATTTTTTTTATTGAATAAAAACAATATTTTTTTAAAAATATATTATTTTAGGTCGGGTCGAGTTTGTATTTTATCTCAAAAAGTCGGATCGAGTTCCGATCAGGTGAAGGGTGTATATTTTTCATGTCGGGTCATGTTTTATGAAAGATGTATAATTTTCGAGTCGAATCTGGTTGATCAAAAACCCAACCTGACCCTATCCATCCCATCCCTAATCACCGGACCTATATCGAATGTCACTACTTGTTGTTGCCAAAGCATAAACAACGTCCCTGAGCGCAGTGGCATGGCAAGCTTAGCTTCCCTCAGGCGCATGGCCATATGTTAAATTTGATAAAATATATAAATATTGATGACCAAATATATAATTATATTATTTTTATTAATTGTCAAATGATTTTATTGAATGTATTTAAATAGTTGGATGATCCAATTGATAAAATTTCAAAATTAATGATTAAAATGAAAAGGATAAATAATTAAATGATCAATGATATAATTTACCTTTAAAAAATTAATAATTTACTGGCCACATGACTACTAACCCTTATAAACACTGGATTGATCTAAAACTAACTAAATCTAATCTTTGGATGTAATACCCTAAACCCAAACCAAATATTCGGAGGATCCAAGATTCGAGACCCTAACTATTATGTCAAAATCTTTAATACCTTGAGTAAGCTTCGGCCCAAAGGACCTAAACATTCATGTACCCGGTCCGACCCAAGACGGTCCAATCATTCACAATCACAAAAATCGTTTTCAAACACCAGACGCCAAGAGTGCGCGTGGAAATCAAATTCGTGAAAGTCCACGAACACTGGTTCGGGAGCTAGTAATAGTACAGGTGTAAACTGGAAACCAAATTCCTGAAGTCCCCACCTTTACCTCTATCTCGCCGCCCCAATCCAAAAACACCCAAACCTTCAAAATTTCTCAGTTTCTTGTCTTCCTCAAAATTTCCTTTTTCACAATATAGAAAATAAATAAAGTAAGCTCATTTAGTGTCTTATTAAGTTATCCCATCACTGGGTTCCTGCATTTTTTTTATTGGTTTTTCTCTTAATATATGTATAATAATCATATTTTATTAATTAGATCATTGTCTCCGTATTTTTCTTATAATTATTGATTTTGTTACTGGTTCTAGATTTTGAGAGGGTTTACGAGCTGCAATCTTTTACTCCGTGGAGACATTATATTTTCGGCTAGTAAGTTACTTTGCATTATATAGTTTTGTTTATATGTTCCGTTTGTTAATTGAATTCCCATTTTTGGTTAAAACATTTGCTTCCCTTGTTTGTAACTTATAACATTTGGTTTTTATTTTCCCTCATGTTAATGTGTGAAATTTAGTTTAATGGTGAGTATGGACTATTGTTTTTTTCTTTCGTTTTGGTAGGTTTAGGAATTTTGATTTTACCACACACAGCTGTCAAGTGTGAGGATTGTTATGCTATAAGATTGGTTTACCCCCAATTTTGCTTAGGTTACCTCCCCTACTGGTTGAGAAGCATTGTCAAAGAAAAAGAATAGCCTTTGAATCGGAAAATAAAATAAAGAAAAATAATACTCTTGATGCATGTGTACAACTCTGGAAATATGGTCTATACACTGAGTTATGAGGCATGGTGTTTCCGGAAAGTAGAATGCTATAATCCCATTTTTTTCTTGTGATATTTGGGGTGTTATTTGCCTAACATTTGAGCTAAATTTACTAATTTGGGTGCATTTTGAAAAAGTTTTACTGCTGGCTCCTGAAAATTTTTAAAGGTTGGACTTGAACAATATTGTTGCCTCCACATCAAATGAGCAACTTATTGCATTCTGCATGTTTTGAAGTTCTAGTGTATGCTATTGGATTCGATATGAATGAATTGGCCAAAATTGTCTTCACCAGGTGTTAAAAGTGTGCAGTAGAGAGTATTCCTAAGTTTCTCCTGTTACCACATAGTTTGAGGCAAGAAGTGAAAAGAACTATGTATTCATATTTTTCTTAAATCTGTTTAAATGTCTTGATTGCTGCTGTGTTTCCGTGCACTACTTGTCACCTAAACTTTTGATCTTTTGCTTTACTGTTTTTCAGGGATTTACTTCTTGCTACTGGCCATGGATGCTAAAAGTCAGTCGGCATATAGTGGACAGAGAAGGATGCTTCCTCCACCTCCCAGAATGTTCCAAGATCGTGAGGAGCTCATTAAACATGTGCGGGACTTTGGGGCTAACCAAGGATATGTAGTGACTATTAAGAAGTCGAGGAAGGACAGAAGAGTTATCCTTGGATGTGACAGAGGAGGCATTTACCGGAATAGGCGGAAGATTGATGAAAGTAAACGCAAAAGGAAAGCATGCTCAAGACTTATAAACTGTCCTTTTGAGGCTATAGGAAAAAAGGAAGATGATACCTGGGTTCTTACCATTAAAAATGGAGAGCATAATCATGAGCCTCTAAGAGATATGTCAGAACATCCTTATAGTCGTCGTTTTAATGAGGAAGAAATTAGGCAAATCAAATTAATGACTGAAGCTGGTATAAAACCACGTCAAGTGCTCAAGGCCCTGAAACAAAGTAATCCAGAGTTGCAGTCAACCCCAAGGCATTTGTACAACCTCAAAGCCAAGATTCGTCAAGGAAATTTATCAGGTTAGTCTCCTATTGTTATTTTCACTATTGTATACTTCTGTTTTAAATTGAAATAAACTGTAATATGTACTTTAAACCAATGTTGTCAAGGTTGCAAGGCGTACTCTAGGTGCTTCAACCCGTACATTGCCTCAGGCGCTCGGCACAAAAAAGCTCTAGCCTGAGTAAAGCATAGAAAATGAAAGAAAAAAGGTGAACAATGAAAGAAACTAAAAATAAATTTAATCCGGGGTGGGGGAGGTTTATGCCTACCGCCTTAGAGAACTCTAGGTGCTTCAACCCGTACATTGCCTCAGGCGCTCGACACAAAAAAGCTCTAGCCTGAGTAAAGCATAGAAAATGAAAGAAAAAAGGTGAACAATGAAAGAAACTAAAAATAAATTTAATCCGGGGGGGGGGAGGTTTATGCCTACCGCCTTAGAGAAAAGTGTGCCTAGTGCTCCTGACCAAATGCGCCTGGCCTGAAAGGGTACGAGGCACTTTTTTTTCCGAAAAATGCTAAGGCGCTAGACTTAGGTGTACCTAGGAACACGCCTTGTCAACACTGCTTTAAACCTGGCCTCTCAAATTCTGTTTGTTCCTAGTGAGGTTGTTATTTGTTGCTTTGTCGTTTATCATCCAAATGGTCAGGCAGCTTTGTAATCAATATCAACCCAGCTATTATAGATCTATCAGTTTGTCATAGCTGGGAGCATGTCCTATCATAACTTATATTCTACAGTGACAATTAAGGTTTTAAATGATATATCTATTTCCACTCCCACTCTGGTAAAATACTTTTGAAAATGAGTGTATTTTTCATTTCTTGAGATTCTTCTTTATAGTAGGAATGTTTTCTTGCAGAGAAAAAATTTCAATCATGGGGGCCTAACAGAAATGTTCCTGTGAACTCTAATAGCAGTTCCGCTGGAGAGTTAAACCAAAACAACCAATCGGTGAGTTTTGATGTGAAAGAACAATTAGTGTGTGACATTTCCTGTTTTTATTTCTTGTTCTCTGTATGTTTTAGCATGCATCTGTTTGTATTTCTATGTGTGATGTGTTCATGTCTGTCCTCTACTATCATTCTGGTATCTACAGGTAAAAGTACCTAATTTTATTGGAGGGAAATTTGTGGGTTCACTAGGTTCCATGACAATTGACGTAATAAATCCTGTAAGTGAATGAGCTAACTTTGTTATTTGCTCTTTCTCATCCTTTTTGATACATTTTTTACATCAGACATTTTAATTAGGCAACACAAGAGGTTGTTTCTCAAGTCCCTTCAACTACATATGAAGAGTTTAAAGATGCAGTTAATGCAGCCAAGCAAGCTTTTCCCTCTTGGAAGAACACACCAGTTACAGCTCGCCAGCGCATCATGTTCAAATTTCAGGAGCTCATCCACAGAAATATTGTAGGGATAACAGAATCCGTTTTTGTTCATCAATTTATTGTTTAAACGTAGTTTATTTCATATTCACAATCTTCAGTTATTCCCCATTCTCCTCAGGATAAGCTTGCAATGAATATTACAGTGGAGCAAGGCATGACATTAAAGAGTGCCCATGGTGATGTGCTGCGTGGTTTAGGTAGTCATTGCTGATCCTCCATTGATTTTGTTCCATGATCTTAAGAGATTGGGTCAACCATTTTGAGGTCATTAGGTTTTATTTCTTGCTTTATTCTTTTGCTTGTAGAGATTGTTGAACATGCTTGTGGACTGGCAACTCTGCAAATGGGAGAGTTTGTGCCAAATGCCTCTAGTGGAATTGATAAATTCTGCATTAGAGAACCACTTGGTGTTTGTGCTGGGATTTGTCCCTCTAACTTTCCTGCAATGATCCCTTTGTGGGTATGGTTTGTTGCTCCTTGTTGCCTTTCTTGATTTTTGGTTCTTCATCATTGTCTAGATTGTAAGCTTCTGAATATTGTCATGCTTCCTTTTTCTTATTGTTCATATGTGCTTGGTTATCTTATGCATTTCAACATTCTCCTATCACGATAGAGGGATTCAGAGTCTAAGATGGGGCTGATTTGCTAGTTCTCCAGTGGCCCCTTCTTTATGTGTATTGTAGCTTGTCTAGTTCCTTTAAGCTCTTCGTATTCCAATATTGAAACCTTCTTTGTGCCTCTCATTGTTTCCTTATTATGACATTTTTCTATCTTTTCAG